TATAATATAATATATAATATTACACATGCAGTAATAATATAAGAGACTGAAGGGTGATATGATGCTTCCTTTTCTTTGGTACTGTTCAAATTAATTTTGACTCAAATATAGTTTTGCTGTTTGCAAGCAGTTCTCAGATATGTAGCTGCTTTCAGCCCTTTGCCGCTTTCTGATTATTTTTTTTCCATTTCTGTTTTATGAGTGTTTAGGTTTTGGGGGTTTTTGTTGATGAAAAATAGCAATATAGTTTGAATCTAACCTTGGTAACAAGACCTGATTTTCATCCAAAAATGTTGGACGCTTTTATTATTATGGTGTCTTCTACAGCTCTAGGATCTTAACTTTCTCTCTCATTCAGTATGGTCATTCACGTTAAAAATAAATGTGATAAATGTCATTACTACTTGGAATAACCTTGTGTTTCGGGAGCTACGATTTTCACATTTCACTTTCTGTACTGAAAGAGGTTGGGCTTTAGGCATTTGAAATTTTACCAATTTCAATTGTACCAATGCAACACCTCTGGATGCGTTCTCACGTGTCACCATGATAAAACTTTAAGACAGCAAAAGGTTTAAGAGGATGAGCCCCTACCTTTTTCCTTCTCAGCATGGGCAGACCAGAAACATGAAGAGGAATTTGAATCTCATGAGCAAATGTTTTATTCAAAAAAACTAGAATTACTAACTTTTTAATAGAAAAACTACAATTCAGTGACTGAGACTGAATGTTGTCTTCTACCTGCTGTGCTTTTGCAATGTGGGGCCTATCCTTCAAGTATGCTTCTCATCCTGTAGCTTTCATTGGCTTTCTTGGTTGCAACAAGCTCTGCACAGTCCCCTCTGACAACACCTGTTCTCATGAACTAAAGCAGAGCCATCCCATGGGCTCATACGGTGGTGTGCAGGGCTCCATTCAGTTTGTTAGCTTACGTCCTGGTGTAACTTCACTCTGTAACTTCTTAACAGTTTGTGCTTGCATTTCAGCATTGTGCTGCTGGTTGAGTCTCTCATTTTTCTGCCTGCTTCTTGCCCCGTTGTTCTGCCACATCTCCTCTCCTAGGAGAGCACTCTCCTCCTCTCTCTATATGGTTCCATCAGACACAGAGGAAGTACCTGTCCTCCCTGCTATCCAGCTGTATCCTCTTAGTAAAACAGGGCAGTAATATTGAGGAAACTGCAAATAAATAGCAATCATCAGCTACGGTCAGTTGCTCTAAGTTTTGCCCTATTACTCATCATTTTCTTTAATGACCACCTGTAGTGCCACCTTCAAAGAGTTTGGAAACAATGCAAGGCACAATATACTCAAGACAAGTGTTTTTATAGAATCTTGGAATGGTTAGGGTTGGAAGGGACCTTAAAGATCATCTAGTTCCAAACCGCTGCCATGGGCAGGGACACCATCCACTGGACCAGGTTGCCCAAAGCCCCATTTTGTTAAATATTTGTATTACAGAGGCATTCATCTGGGATTTAGTGTTACAGGAACACTTGCACAGGCTGTATGGTTTTAGGAAATAAGATGTTAAAATAAAGGGAAAGATCTGAAATGTGAAAAAAAGAGATAGAAATATGTGATTTTAATGCCTATTAGGTTCAAGTGCTACTGTTTGTGCCTCAAACTAGCTCTGATTATTTGGGTGATTCTTAAAGATAAGGATTACATTTCTTATAAATATGGAATATTCTGAATCCTTTTATCACTACATGGTATAAAAAGTATATGTTAAAAATTTAAGATCTATTACAGCAAGTGAAGGAAATATTTCCAGAGATCTCTACTATCTTTTCTGTTGTATTTATTTTCAGCATGCTAAAATCCTTCCTACCCATGAAGATCCCATTATAGCCATTTCGAGAATTTATTTTAATCATAGTTTTCATTTTTTTCTTATTGTACAGTATGATATTCTTTCCATTGTTTGATTTTATGCTTCCAGTTTTGAACATATTATACAGTCTGTCTGCTTCTGTGAACAAGTTAAAAGGCAAAAAATTGAGAAAAAAAAAATCCTTTGTTGCATTAGTAGCAGTAAAAGCTGTATACATAAATAAAGTCAAATTTCATAAGTAGAAGTTAATGGGATTTTTATATTTCAGCTTGTCTGGTCCCAGTTAAACAGCCTCCTGTAAGCAAGACAACCATTGTGATTTTAGAAAATCTGGAGAGAGCTTCTTTATCTGAATTACTAGGAGATTTTCTGGCACCTCTTGAGAATCGCAGTTCGGAAAATCCTTGCACTATTCAGAGAGGTATTTAAAGAATTTGGGATGGAGAAATGTTTTTACCACAGTACAGTTGTATTATAATACATGACAAATGGGGAACTTAGAGGAGAAAATTATAATTTGTTCAGTTTTTATATTTTATTGCAAACAGTTGTTCTTAACCAAATATAGCACATTTTAAGGCTAATTTAGGAGAGGTTTTTTTCTTTCTAATTATGTCACTGCTTCTTGCTTTTTTATGAAATCATGTCAAAGCTTTGAGTATTTCAGTAAAATTTTTTATGGTTCATTTTTAGCAAATGGAGTTTCTGGTGCCTTTTACTTTCACGAGAACTGCTTTTTACTGGGGACAATCGCAAAGTGTCATCTTCATGGCTCTGACCTGCTGGGTCAGCAGCATTTCCGTTGGGTTCAGCTCAGGTGGGATGGGGAACCAATGCGTGGCTTGCTTCAAAGGTTCTTAAGAAGAAAAGTTATAAACAAGGTAGGAACTTGAATCGGCATCAGCAATTTTTGTTCATCACCAGGTCTGTGAAATATGTACGATGGTAATGTCAAAAGCTGAGCAGATAACTAAGTTCTTTCAGGATAAAAGCATTTATTTCTGGGAAGATACAGGCTGTGTATCTGCAAATGTTGTGCTTGGCGTCGTATAGGAAGGTGTGTGGCCATGGCTGATTAGCATAAACACACTGGTTGGCTGCAAATAATGATACTGTGGATACTTGCTTAAACACTGTATGAAAACATCCTTCAGTAATTTTTTTCATCTTCTGTGTGGGCATGATAGTAAGAATGTGTTCATCAAATGTGAAATCCCTTTTTCGAGGAATTTATTGTATATATCAAAAATAAGATAGTTATATGTCCTGTGTGTATTGTCTACGTTTTAAGCAGCAAAAAAGAGTTTTTTCCTGATTTTCAAATGCAAGAAGAAAGAGGGATGAAAATGCATCAGTAGGGAAGTTGTTCTGAGCCAATAGGCCTGCTGAAGCTGCAACAAAATTCCAAAAGAGAATAAAGATGGGAAGTCTGTTTTAACATGAATAAATGAATGGAGGATGGTAAATGAAAAGAAAGATGTGGGCAAAAGCAGAATTGTGGTATTTTGGAAGTTATTTGGAAGAAAACCACTCCAGTGTGATGGCAGCTATTGCAGACAGTCAGGCAGTGTTAGACATTGGGAGGTGGAGTTTAATCAAAACAGCTGCAAAGGAAAATAATCTTGGCAGCAGAGTTTTGAACAGACTTAAAAAGGGAGATTGTTTTAGGAATAGAGAAAAAAACCTGTCAGTAGTAAAGAGTCCTGGTCTGGGACAACAGACCTACTGTCAGTTCTGAGTGTTCAGCTGTATGTGTCTTGTTATCTTTGGGGATGTCATCTCCTGTACCCTGTGCCACAGTTCTCATCTGCAAAAGCTTACTGATTCAAAGAGATCCTAAAGAGGAAATGTGTGGTAACTGAACACTTCTGTTATGATAATGAGGAAATTTAGAAACATTCCTAGGTATTCTTTAATAGCAAGAACAAGAATACAGAATATATTAAAAAAAAAATCATATGAAATGCATCAATCAAATGCCTAATAGATTGCTTTTCTTAGATTACTTTTTTTCAAGTGCATAGTTATTTATAAGTACTTTTTTCTTTGTGAAACTTCATTTACTTTTTCCCCCATGTGCTTTAAATCTTTAAGTCTCTACTGATATAGTAAGCTGGAACCATTATGAGTGGCTGTCTGGTTGAGGATATGGATGGTTTCCAGAATCATTGTGCAAAGAATTGGAGGGCAGGTAGGTGGGTAGGTTGAAGCTGGTGTCTTGCAGATAGGCTATAGTGCTGGAATGAGGTATAGACCAGAGGACAGTGGAATGGAAGTGTGTAGCAGAATTGTCCTCCATCCTCTTGAGGAGGAAGATTTTATTCTCAAGCCTACACTGGAGAGTATCTAGTGATCTAAGCCCCTTTATCTTTATCCTTTGGACATAAACACTTTGATAGTAGATCATTCAAGATCAAAGGACTGTCTTCAGTTGAGCACAAAGCCAAGAAATACAGCAATGCAGAGAATTGCAGAAGTGGTGTTCTGACTTGTTCACAGGCAAATCTCATAGGTTAGAGTTTAACAATGTAATAGATTCTTACCTCTGACTGAAGTTGAACAGAATTTGGGTAGTAAACTCATTAAATTTATTATTTCTACAGCATATATGCAGATGGTGGCCATTTGGAGAAAAAAGCCATATATTCCCTAATTAAATAATGAATAAAAATGCCCAGTGTGCTAATAACTTTTTTTTAATACGTGTGCCAATAACTTTTTTTTAATACGTGTGCCATATGCAAACTCCAAACTCAAATGCCAGTTGATGTGTCTCTTAAAATAGTAAATTCCAATGTTAAAAATAGAAGAAGGATTAATCTATTATAAAAATCTAAAGGAAAAAGCACATTTATTGTTTGAACAATAGACTATTTCTGAGATACTTGCTTGTGCCTTAATAGTCTTGTTTTCAGATGAAAAGCTGTTTTTCCCTTATTTGGTGCTATTAGGATATATGGAAACAGCTTAAATGTTTTTCTACATTAACATTAAATTGTTCACCTGCTGACTGTCAAGAAGCTCTGGCTTCAGTGCTGGCAAATACTATCCGTACTGCATCTTTTAATGCTTCTTTTAATTCAAACTGTTCCAGAGGATAATCCTAGGATTAGGATGATGAAGACTGTAATATGGAGTCAGACAAAGTAGAAGATTTTTCTGGCAGCAAATAATTTGCCTTTAACAAGGCATGCTAAAAAATTTGTCTTAGAGGAAGGCATCTTTCCTTCATTGCTACTAAGTATAAAATCAATACAGACATCCACTGAGAACATGCCTGGATCAGAGATTCCTGTTCAGTGTGATTGTATGTTCTTTTATATACCCTATTTATATCATATATATTGCATAGGATATAGTAGATGCCTCTTGCAATCCTAACCTTAAACACCACAAAAAAAGTACGATTGCCAAATTTGTGTCTTGGTTTCCCAGAAGAAAGTAGAGACATGTCAGTTTATTGATAAGGAGATGTCCTTTAAACTGCAGTTGGGGAAATAAGTTTTAATACAACACTTCAGCATACTCCATAAAAAAATTTGACCAATTTTCCCTGATTTTCATAATAGCAATATAGCAGGAAAAAACCCCACAGGCCTTATTGGGGTTTCAAGGAAAGTGTTTGCAGCAGAGGTCTTATGTTGTGTCAAACATCTTTTCTCTCTGCAGTTCAGAGGCAAAGTACCTCCTCCATGTGATCCTGTGTGCAAGATCATAGACTGGATTCTTGCTGTGTGGCACCAGCTGAACTCTTGCTTATCACGTCTAGGAGCGCCTGAAGCACTTATGGGGCCAAAACATTTCTTCTCTTGTCCTGTGGTGCCAGGGCATGGCCAAGCCACAGTGAAGTAAGATTTCTATTTCCTGTTTGATACTGTTCAGTGCCAACTAGATACATATTACAAATGCAGCAGTTATGTTTATCCTAAAAGCCATCTGATGCAGCAACCTTGAAAGTATTTTAGCAGGAGGTATTGAAAGTTTAAGACTTTTGTTTGATATTTAATTACTAGATCGGCAATTTTGAAGGACACAAGCAGGAACTGGGTGTCTAACACTAGTTGAAAGTTAGTCTTTTTTTGTGATCTTTCAGTTATTTTCTGATACAGAGGTTGCAAAATATTACTTGTACTGGAATGCCTAATATTGCTCAACCCTTTAAATGTTCTGTTCTTCATTTCAAGACAGCACTTTAAAGAAAGCTGTTCATTAGCAAACAGACCAAAGCAAGGTTCAGGAATTCTGAGCTTGAGAAGTTGGTAGTGTTTCCTTTAGAGAAAATTTGTATATGAGGGAAATCTAGAGAAGTGGAGTGATTTCTCACTCTTTTTAATATCTGGTAACATTTTTAAACACACATAAAATTTCACAGATGTATTACCATAATAAATAAGGCAGATATATACTCTTTAGCAGTACACACAGTTAGGTATCTAGTAAAATAAAAGGAGAATGATGAAAATTTTGTCTGTTCTTGCATAGTGCTTATTGCATGAACATCTGCTCACATTCCAACTATTCTGCAAATGCTAGCAAGTGATAGAAGAAATAATTCTAGAATTTTAAAATATATTAATGTCATACTAAGATGTTGCTTGGCTATATTAGAAAGGTAATAAGCCCCTAATTAAGATTCAAACTTATTCAGCACTCAATAACATTGGTTTCTGGAGATGCAACATTATTTTTCTCACTCTGCTTCAATAGCATTCTCCTTCATTGCCACTTCTGTTCCCTCTCTGACTTTTCTCTCTTATACTAGTTTCTGTAGACCCTTCTTCCAATGTCCTTTGCTTAGCACTTGCACTGGCTTTCTCATCTTTTGTTCTGTCTGCAGTTCTTGATGATACATTTTCCTTGCTTGTTTTCCTTTTCTTTTTTCCTAAAAGGCCAGGTTATCTAATATCCCGAGTAATTATCAGAGTCTAAATGTGGATGTAGCATTGACTTGAAATTTTATGGGTGTTATGAAATAAAAGAATAAGGTATACCATGCATCTATCTCCTGTATTGCTCTTGAATCATGTCCTCTGAAATGTCTTAATCATTTATTTATTGCAATGGCATTACTAGAGGACAAAAAGCCTATTCTTTACATACCTTAATTATGCATTTCTGAGTTTGGATTTCTCCTAAGTATAACTTTGACTGGATTCACAATGCTTTATTTTGAGCACAACCTCAAAATGTCTTTTATTGTAGCGATATGCCATCCGGCTCATTTTAATGTAGTTTTTTGTCCATTAATAAACAATTAAAAAGCACAGCTCCAGTGAGCACTTACTGGACGCTTTTAGTTTAGCAGCATGATGGCTAAGAGTGTAGTCATATAATTAGCAATAAATAGATTTAATTAGCAGCTCACTGGTTGCTGTTATTTCAATCTAATTAACCAATCCTGTCCTCTTGCCCCTTCTCTCCACTGTGCTATTCTGCTGCTTTTTGCATTTGTTAAAGCTTCACTGAGTCAGTTCAATTAATTAAGACAGCAGACAGCTAGCTACAAACTGGGTTTGTTCTGGGCTGTGTTAGCACGAGGCACGCGGGAGAAGCAGGCAACTGAGAAGGGAGAGAGAAGGTGCAACAGGAAATTGTTTCCTGCTGTATGCTGTTTCATGTAGCTTCACGGGTTTTGGAGAGTAGAGTGAATAAATAGGGAAAATTTTAGCTACTTTTTTTTCTTGCTATACCTTCCTAAGGGTGCTATACCTTCCTAAGTATCAGCTATATCAAAGAACTGGGGACTTGACCGAGATGAGCACAAACATAAGACTGAATTTAAACACCAGGTTGGAATTTTATTTCGAGAGGATGGCATTGTACAGCCCATCAATTGTTAACTGTTAGATTAGAATGAGCTCAATTAATTTTATCTTTGCAGCATTCATTTCTGACCATTTATACTAGCAGTAGTGAAAAACGTAAAAAGCTTAGATATAGGCAGAAATGGAGAGATAGAGTTCTTTGTTACTAAAACGAATGCAATTGTTTATTTTGGTAGCTTAACTCAGCTAGCAGCAGCAGATTGTATCTATCTGGAATGGTATCTACAACATTATGCTAAGGAAGCTTCAAGGAACATCTCCAATATGCATTTTACATCTTATTTTAACAACTATCCTAATTATTATTCTAAGTAATCTAACTTTTATCAAGCTTATACCAGCACTTTGTAGCATGGTTCTATATCATAAAAACTCAGTCTTATGCTTCATAACTAACCAAAAATACATCTATCAAATGATTCATGCATTCTAACTTTAAAAAACAAACAACAAAAAAAAAGCCAAAAAAGTTGTCATAATCTTTTAGATCATAAGATGGCTTCTGTGTATCAACATATCCAAGAAAATGGTTCATTTAAGTCAAACAGACATTTTAGCCTTCACTTTTTCTGAATGGATTTCTGCAAAACTGAAACAGCATTATAGTCTATAATTTCTTATAGACCTTTAATATGAGCCCTCTTACTCTCAATCTTACCATCTTCCTCCCATGAGAGGGTATAAGGAAGAGAAAAGAATTGGATTTGATCTAAAAAAGATTGTCTCAGTGTCTGTTATTGATGTGAGCCGAGCCCTAAGTCTGAAACTCCTAGTGTTTATACCTTGAGAACTATAAGCTGTAAGAAATAGCATTTATTTATTTCCTAATACAAATGTTTCACTTCTGTGTTAAAACAATGTAATACTTCTGTCTTAGAAAAGCAAAAGTCCCAGAAGAACCATGTCCCTTTTTGAATCAAATTTTTGTAATCAGACCCAGTCTCTAAACCAGACAATCTGGAAAATCCACAGCATCCTGGAAACACAGTTCACCGTAGATCAAATAAACAAAAGGAGAGTGAGAGTAAGGCAGCTGTACCAATAGAAAGGTCTTGTAAGCTGGACAAGTTTGGAAATGGAAGAATACTGGAAAGGGTGCAATCATAACTGAGTACCTCCTTTTTCCCACTCTGGCAGCAGATAGGCTATGAATGAACACCTGCAAACGTGGAAACTCCTCCATGCACTGGCAAAGGTGAAAGGAGATTTTTTTGTATATACATGAACACATGTCTTTCTGGGACATTCTTTCTTTTAGCCTTAAAATGAAAAGGATATTTTATAGTCCTTATCTGAAGGAGGAAAAGCATCAGATGGTAAATAGTTTGCCAAAGCAACCCAAAGAAAGTTATGTCAAATAGTTTAATATGAAACAAATAAATGCCACCTAAAATAAAATCAGTTCCAATCAGTTCGTCTCTGACATGGGGTACAATAGGAAGTCCAAAATACATGTGCTTCATGAAAATGCAAAATCTGATATGTTACCCAAAGTCTAAAATCTTAGGGTTTGATATTGTCTCTGAAGTTAAGGGATTATTTGTGTGCCTACAGGTGGATGTCCAAGTTATGGAATGCTGTGATAGCTCCCAGAGTTCAAGAAGCAATACTCTCCAGAGCCTCTGTGAAAAGACCATCTGTACCAGGACAAGCAATAGCCAAAAAAAACCCTAGCCAAGGACAACAGGCTGTTGTTAAAGCTGCTCTCAGTATCTTGCTAAATAAAGCTGTTTTGCATGGCTGTCCTCTACCCAGAACAGGTAACAGTGAACAGTCAGAAAGACATGTAGTTGCACATTGCCAAAGTGGGGCTTTTAACTGTTTGATTCGTTTTTTAAAACTTCCACAAAAGATAACTGTAGTTATGATGGGCGGTGTGTAGTTAAAAGCATTTACAGTCACTAAACTAAATAGCTGTATAAGGTAGTCAAAGAAGAACCATTTGCAACAGTCAGTTCTTAACATTGTTCTACTTTTGTTTCAGAGCTAGATAATTATATAGCAGATTTTAAGGGAGGAAATTTTCCTTTATCCGTGGTTTCAAACTACAAAAATTGTAGTAAGAAGAGAAGTGAGAATGCTTCTTGGAGAAAAGTGAGCACAAGTCCTCGAAAAAAGTCAGGCCATTTATCCTCCCAGTCATGGAATAAGCAGGAGACAAATACTGAAGGTAAAACTTTCTGGTTTTAACTCTGAAAGAAGCTTTAAACCTCTGAAAGAAGGTTTAAGCTGTGTCTATATGAATCTAACTTTTCTTCTACATCATGAATTAAAAGTTCTCAATTAAATGACACTCATGTTTATGTTTACCAGTAAAAAAATGTTTACTTTTTTTCCCCCTAAATTCTTTCTTTGTGACTGTGAGGTATCCTAATTAATATTTTTTTGTTGTTGTTCTAATGGCCTTCCTGTTGTCTGATAATGAGGTAGGATATGGCTCAGATGGTGGAAGACTGAGTAGTGGTTCCATCTCATATTGCATGGAATGATGCTCTGGCATTCTTTTCCTTAATACTGGATGAGAGAAAGCTTCATTACTTGATTGCTACTCTTTAGTTCTGCACTTAATTTACAGTATACCTAATTTAGGGGGGTTTTACATGTACTTTATAGCTTCACTACAATAATTTCTATTGTCTGAATCCAAGTAAAAATAAATGAATACATACATCCTCAGATCATGCATCCCTTGGTCAATCTTGTTAGATAAATTGAGTAGAATAATCTAGAAGCCCTGTAGTGGAAGGAAGAGATCTTGGGTTTAAATTGAAGATATTTGTTTGATTTTTCACTTTAATTGCAAAAAATGAATGTAAAAAATTCTTTGTATTCACAAATACTGTAAAGTTTTCAAGAAGTTTCCACATAATTTTCAGTATGCTGCTTGATAAAGAAGGCTTTATATGACTGGGTCTATGTGTGTGTACAAATGTGAAGGTTGTATTAGTAGCTGGCACTTTTGAAATGCCTTTTCACCTCAAGATCATAAGCCATCTAACAAGCAGTTTACTACACAGGGATAACGTTTGGATATGTGCAGAAGCAACATGTCATTCTTCTAAAAGTACACATCTGTCTAGAAGGAAAACTTAGGAATACCATAACCGAATACAATGTCAAACAGGAAAACTTCTAGAGGACAAAATCAAATTACTTATTTTTCTTTCAGAATATGAAGGTAACTCCTTCAGAGAGAAGAGTTAGGAAGGGATTTAGAGAAAAAGAGGCTTACACACACACAGACTTTAGAAACAGTAAGACTCTAGCCTCAATTATCTCATATATAAAAGATTGAAATACCTGATGCCTGGTACTTTGTAATGTTAAATTGAGGTATTCATTTCTTCAGCTCCTGTTCAGAAAGAAGTCTGCTTTTGCTGAACTACAACTCTAATGTCCCGATTTTGCTTGCTAGTTCTTTGAATTGTGTATTTATCTAATCTCATTAAGAGGATTAAAAAAATCAAATGAAAATAACCTGAAGTAGGATGGTTGATACTGTATCTTGTACTTGAGAATGTTCTTGGAGTCCAGTTAATATCTGTGAATGTAAGTAAAAAATGGGATGGTGAATTTAATTTTAGCAGCCTTCCATTTCTGACTATCACCATCAAATGTTGTTCTGGATTCCAAGTAAGGGTAAGTTGTTTGATGTTACTTAAATGAAGCAAACTTAAATCTTTTCCTGTTGACAAGTGATTTCTCTTTGAGAGAACCAGAAAGGATGGTTCAAGCACCTCACACAGAAAACTCATGTTCTGTCTTCCACAAAAGCTTGGGCAACTCATGCCCCGTTTGCCATTTTAGCAGTACCAGGTGGCCCTAATGCTACTCCGAACAGTTTCAAGTGATGTATTCTGATCTTTGACAGACTCTATTGATATAATTAGCCAGTAAAGGGGAACACATTTTCCCTTTTTATGACAGATTTTAGAATGAAAAAATCAACACACATGATAACATGCTAATAATCTCTCTTTTGTGCAGGTATAAAATCTAAAACTATGTTGCAACCAAACTGTAAGAAAAGAGCTTCTCTCGCCACAAAGTAGGTTTTAATTTCTGGTATTTGTAACACATGATAAAATTGTGTTGTAAACCAGCACATTATAATGAATAGATGAAGAGTTTGTATTTGGTAATGTTTTGGTTCTACATCTGAAAAAAGGAATCTTTTTTAATTTTCATTTCTGAGAGAAAATAAAATTTGTGTACTTCAATATAATTTTAGAACCCAATTCTGTAATTCAAACCTTGCATCACTACATGTCTTTTTATATAACAGAATAGTCTATGACTTAAGAATATTATGTAACACACACTGCCATGAAAAGCCAACCATATGCTTTTTTCACCTGGCATTACATTTTAAAAACTTCTCTGGCTCTTAGGTTACTGAATGGCAATTCAAAACAGTATAGTGCATGCACTTTAATCTAAATGATACAGAGTTTCTCTAGGAAAGCATACAAATTAGCTAGAGGGAATTGCATTTGAGACTTTACATCAATCTGAAACCTTGGTTCTACCACATTTACAGGCACAGACAGCATAGGATACTTATGTTTCCAGTATGCCGGGGGGGTTTAAGTGTTTGCAATTAAGTCCAAAACGGAGAGTGGAATGAAAATGGTTGCTTCATCTCAAAAAGAGGAGAATCTTTGAAGATAGTGAGTGGAAGACTCCTTTGTTAGAATTTCAGAATGGAGAGAATAATTTGAATAGAAAGAAGATCTATTATGATATAACAACTATTCACAACTATTGCTGCCACTTAGATGTTATTTTCTTTCTGTTTCTGGTAGTAAAGGTCATTTGGAAAGAAATTACTATTTTCCAGGTGTGTATAATATTTATTTTTAAATTCTGTAACATAGCTGAATTTTAATTGTTCTCTTGGTTTGTTTGTTGGGGCTTTTTTAACCAGATCTTCAGAGAAGGATCAATTGAGAACGTTAAATCTGGAACAAAGGCTGTCCCTTGGTTCTGATGATGAAGTAGATCTTGTGCAGGAACTTCAAAGTATGTGTTCCAGCAAATCCGAGCCTGATATAAGCAAGGTAAACACAAGGCTTTTAAATAATTTATGTCATTGCCATATGCAGTTGTTTGCTATGTGTTTGAAATAAATTTTTAATTTACAAGCACTGCTTGAACTGAAGAAAATTATTAAATTATTTGGGAATAAGCCAAAGTCAACTAATAAATTATACATTTGAGGGTAAGTGTTCTGGTTTAATATACATTATTTTAAATTACACTTCCACTATTTTTTCTTGTAGAGATTTTTGCAGTGGAGGCTGAAATTTATAAGTTCATAAACACTAGCGACAATAGCCTTCTTTGCATTATTGTTCCTCATATTATCTTTTATGCTATCATTGCTTCCACTGGGAAACTGTTCTGTAGTCTTAAAGATGTAGAAAGTTTTTCCTCATATGCATTGCACATTTGGTTTGTTTAATGTAATCCTATTAGCTTTCACAGGACTGGCTCAAAGCTCTTCTGCTGTGTAGGCAAAATTCAGTTTTGCTGCCCCAAGCAAGAAAGAACAGGTTGGCCTAATTCTTTGTCTTTAACAGTGGCAGAAGAGAGTGAAAGGAGGCTTGCAGGGCTCATAGATTTGGGGCTAAGTTCTACCCTGGAATGTGTTGTGGGTGGTTGTGGGAGGCCTGTTGGAGCAAAGGGTGGATCTCTTTCATTTTTCTTGCTACACCAAAAGCATCCAGCTCTTCCTGTAGCTGTAGCTATTTATTCTTTTCATTCTTCCCTCCTAGCACAGCTGAAGTAGATGGCTGTGACAGCAGGCTGCGTTCACACCAGAGCAGCTGATCCATATCTTTTGGAACACAGAGTCAGTCTTAGGTTATTGTCCACTTAGGCTGCGCATGTACATCCTCTAGGATCTTCCTGAACAGCAGTTCCATTAGGTTTGCTTTATTAAATATTCTGTTTATTCATAGAAGTCAAGTAATTTTTATTAAAAAAAAAAAAAAAAAGAAAGACTGTGTTTGGGAAGATTTTTCAACCTATTTAATGAAGTTCTTTATTATGGTGTTTTGTTTTGGATTGGTTTTTTTAAAGTATTTACAGTACTTGCATGAGTCACATGTACCAAGCTGGCTAATCACTAGTCATTTAGCAGGGATTTACCATATCTATTCTTGAAAGACTGGGATGTGCTTAAAGAAATGGTAACCAACTTAACATTGTGTTTAATAACATGTAAAATGTAGTTGCTCATTGTTGACAATTCAAGGAAATACGGGTTAGATAAGGAAGGAGATAGATGTCGCTGTCTTTTGTTCAGTTTCCTCACCATGGGTGGAACCATCCATGACTGGAATTTCTGTTGTTAATTCCCTAGCTGCCTAGTAGAGCCTTACAGAAGTGAGGGTGCTGCTGCATGTTTTCTTTGTGTGATGTAATTTCAGGCTGCCATCAGAATAAGTACTTCTACTCTCTAATTTGCCCTCTCACTCGAATATGTTCCTGCTGCCTGTTCTCTTGGGATCGAGTAGTTTTGCAGTTGCAGAGTTGAATTGGATCATCTTGCCCCAGGATAAAATACCTAGTTTTCAGTGAGGACAGAAGACCGATCAGACTCTACCTACTATTGCATGGGCACAAGGTTTGATGGAAAGTAGCAGGGAAGAAACATGGCAGGAGGACAAGAAAAGGATCGTTCCTTTCTGTGGTGTTCCTGGGGCTGCATAAAATTTAATGGGAAACTGCCCTTAAGCTCCACTGAACAGTATTGCCCTGGAAACATATGTTTAATCTTCCTCTGATAACAGTCAATGTGAAATCTCTCTATCTATCTCCCATCTCCTACAAACACACTCAGGAGTAAAGGAAAGGTATTTTAATGGTTCTTTGGATACTTATGCATTGCATTGCACAGAAACTGCATGAAAATAAACTCAAGTCTCCAAAATTTGGCAAATTGAAACATAAGCTCTGCTGTGAATAACTAAAAAAATCACCATTTTCTTATCTTTTTCAGATTGCAGATTCTAAGGATGAGCTATTGATGTTCAACAACTCCCAGAACAATCCTGTATTTTCAGCAAGTGGTACTAACCCAAGTAAAACAACAGCACAAAAGGTAGGTGAAACAAGTTTTGTAGTAGGATAGGGAAGGTGTCTTGACTTTCTCCAAAATCTGAATTCCTGATTGAATCCAAAGAATTAGTGTTCCAGTGCCCTGTTTATTGCAAGAATAAACTGTCATGATTCTTAGGAAACTCGCTGGACACACCATGCCAAGTTTCCTCCATGTCCCTTATTAAACAATGGATGTATTTGCTTCAGTTTTCACGTTTACATAAAGCCATCTCCCTAGGCCAAGTATTGTTGACATTACTCTAACATTACAAGTTATTTGCATCAGATTTTAATAGAAATAAAAGCCCTTGGTTCTTTTTTTCCCCCCAATTAATGTTATTCAGTAAATTTGCAAAAGCACTTTTTTTTTTTAAATTCTTGATGTAAAATTGCTGGTTCCTGGTTTATTTTCCTACCATTTTTTTCATAGTGATTACCCAAATATATATGATTTCAAACCACTGTTTTCCTAACTGTTGTTATTTAAGTAGAATTGAGCTGCTCTGGTGTCAAAGCTCTCAGTCATAGAAATTTTGAGAAGACATAACATTACCAGAGCTTGTGAAAAATAGCATTTTTTTAAAAAGGGGATTCAGTTTATTTTTTCTACCTAGCTACTTGTTGTAATATACAGTTGTCTTGCCATATCATTTACAAGAAATCCAAAGAAACCCTATGTTATAAGTTTGATGATTCTGGGAAAAGGTAGTCTAAACATAAACACACTTTACTAACTTCAGAGCAGCTTCAGAGTGGGAATATAAGCCCAATGCTACTGGAAGATATACTAGGTCTATTATCACATTCTTATCAGAAATTGAAATCATTGTTTGTGGGTGCTAACATCCCTATTAAAAGGGAAGATGGGAAGATGAAATTATATCCTGCTCATTTTTCATTCTTTTGATAATAAAGTAAAAATTATGCTTTCCCTGTTGTTACCCTTTTTTCCCTTTTCTTTCTTGCTCCTTGTGTTTTTGAACATCAAGAGAGCTTATGAGCACACGGCTCAATTACCCTTAGCCAGGGGAGAATCTGTTGTCTATGTTCCCTTGCTGGGCCCTCTATCTTCCCTCAATGGGGGTCCTCTAGAGTCCAATTCAGGTGCTGTTATGTGACTGCGATAAATTGTTTCCTAGAGATACTCTGTCTATTTTCTGCAGGTACAATGAAGTAGCCCTGAAAATAGCTTAACTTGCACACCTAAGCATAAAAAAGCTAAAGTTGGATGGGATGAGATGACTTACCACCCTTACCATCATATTTTTTCATATCCAAATATTCAAAATGTTAGAATATTTTGTGTAATTTTACTTAAAATCCAGAGAACAGTCTCCACTAATGGAAACAATTTTAACATTGCAGATCTACATTTAGATATACTCATTTGAATATTTCTCTAAACACATTAATTTCAGACATTCCAAATCAGAGCTTCACATAGTTGTGATGCCTGGATAATTTGGTAAGTCAGCTGACCTTCCCATTCCTACTGTACATTTTTCCTAGTGATTTTTTTTTCCTTTTAAAATTCCTTCTAACAATGTAAGGTATAACTATATTGACTTTGGAGGTAGACAAGCTTAGCTACCTTTGAGGTTTTTGAAGAATTTTCTCAAAAGATTTTATATAGAATAAAAAAATTATCTTTGTGAGGAAATGTTGGCCAAAATGAAGGAAACACAACCCCAATATTTGCTAGAGGGGAAAGAGGTCTAACTGAATGACGAGCTTTGTGTGTAGATTTAGTCATTACTACAAAAATGTATCAAAAATCTAGAAGAACACAGTCTCAGTTTGAAAACAGAAGTGAAACTGTTAGAGGCAATTGTAACAATGATAAACCTATGCAGCTGCAAGAACTGATGTCTGAAAGAGTTTGAGATGAGAGAAGCAAACTCTTCTGAAAGTGAATAGAATTCTGTAGATAACAAAAGCAATACTGCCTAAGCAGAGGAGATCTTATCAACAGTAGTGAGACAAATTACTTGGGCAACAGACTGGTGATTTTTTTTTTAATTGGCTGGAAGAAAAAATGCTTTCAAGTATGAGAAGGAGAAAGGGAAAACTGGTAAGAGATGCAAAATCTTTGATCAAGGATACAAACAAATTGATAGAATCAAGGATTAATAAGGAACAGACACTGATGAACAGTCTGGTTTCATGCCACCAACCTTTAGGTGAAAAGCAGTAGCTGATGGTGAGAATGAACTTTTTCATATTGCTGCCCAGAGGGTGATCTGGATTCAACTGATGCTAACATTTAGGGTCCTAATTTTCCTTTCCTGTCAGTGGAAAGGTAGGCTTCTCTCATGAAAGATATATGTTAGTGACCATCATAAAATCGCTTAACTCTAACCTCTTCTTGACTATAAAGGAACAAAAAGTGACGACATACCTGACTTTGGCACTTCAGGTATCTAAATTTGGGCAGGGTGAATATGGTCCAGTTTTTAAGAATGTAGCTTCTTAGCATAAATGATTTGAGATGATAAAATCTAATTTATAAGAAAGCAATCTATAAGATTATGGATTAAAATGTAACCAGCGTTTCAACTTCCATTCTTGAAGTATTATTTTTGTCATTATTATTTTCTTATTATTTATGGCCTTGATGGTACCAAAAAGAAAAAAAAGTTAATATCTTTATTCAAGCAGTAAAGCTGATTTTTTTGCTCGTAACTACCTTCCATTTTTTCCCTTTTAGCTGTGGCTGCAGATGTCATTTTTCCACAGTAATGAAAGAAAGACAGAACATGTATTTTTTATTTTGGTTCTCCTAAAATTGGGACATCTGAGGATCAAATTTAAGGTTTTTTTCAATGGCAATGCAAAAACCCCATTGACTTATTTTGGTATTCTAAGATTTTGATGATATTTCTTTTCAGTCAAAGAAGCAAAAAAGAGGCATAGTTTGTTCACCAAGTAGTAAGAAGCTGTCATATTAAACTGCAAAAGATTGTAAATAACAAGGGTTCCATTGGGCTGGTAGGGTTGGTTAGTTGTTTTTCAGCTCGAACATCAACAATTATTTATACAGAAGATGCTTTTTTTTGTTCATAGGATGGGATGCATCCTCTCAGCAGCAGTCGAACTGTGGAAAGCAGCAACAGTAAATCAAAGACAGAGTTGGGTGTTTCAAGAGTTAAATCTTTTCTTCCTGTTCCTCGAAGTAAAGTCACCCAGCCTTCTCAGAATACTAAAAAAAGCAGCAGCAGTAATACAAGGCAAATAGAGGCAGATAATAACACAAAAAGAGAGATTTGGAATTTGCACAAAAAAGATCAAATAGAAAAATCTAATAAATAAACCTGCCTACCATACAATTTTCTGTGTTCATATAATCTCTATTGCAAAGAACCAAGTACTCAAATATGTAAATATTTTTTAAAAATAAACTGTTTCCCTGTAATGTAAAGTTTGTACAGGACCACAGTTTTATTTCTATGTAAATCAGCTGGAAATTATATTGATTTAAACTTCAGAAATGGGCAGTTTTGCCACCTTCATATATGTGGGGGTTTTTTTCTTCTTTTATTATGAAAATTACTCATTTAAATGATTATATTCAGGGGTATTACCACAGGATTCTGTTTGTGTATATACTGTACATAAATATATTCTATTAACTTCACGTGTTAAACTGCATTCAGATGAGTTGCACAATATGTACGGCAATGGCTTAAAGCTATTGTACATGCATTTTAAAGACATGGTTTTATCTTCATTTAATGAAAAATTAATGGAATGTGGCAATAACTAAAATGATTGGAAATGCAGATCAATTACTTTCAGCTACAAGCCATATTAAATATTTTGTGTTCCCCATCATCTGCCTGCTGAATTGTGATTTTGTTTCTCCCAAGCTTCTCTTCATCTAAACTATCATAGTTTTCCGTTATATCTTTTAAAAAAGGAAAGAGATTGAGAAATTAAAATGCAATAAAAGTTATTTTTCTCAGACTCTTATTCTTTGATAGAATTGAAGAAAATGTGATCATTTATTAACTTAGTTTTTCTTGTATACTGTAAAAGCTTTTATATACTTCATTAGTGTTTTAAAAGTATCCAAGAAATAATAGTGTTTTACAGAAACAGATTTTACTGAAAAGGAATTTGAGCACAAGCTTAACTACAGTATTATCAGAGATAATGTAGTAGCGATAACATGAGTTACTATGTAATTATCAATTTCTATTGTGCATTTAAGATGTAATTGCTGTGAAATGATACTTGAGTCGCAGTTAAAATGAAGTCGTCTTCATTTTTTCCCCCCCACTACGGAGGTAGATCTCACGTTTCCACGAGGGAGAGTGCCTACGAAGGGAATGTGTCCCCAGTCTCTCCTTACAGCAGCTGCAGTGACGCACTTGTGAGCTGTAACACTGTGGGACCGCTCGCTGCCTCCATACCTCACCCGGTAGGCAGAGGGAAGTGCAGGGTTTTGAGATCAGACTCAAGATGGGCTATCAGGAGGCGGTTGTGAGACCTATGGACCGTAACATGCCTATAATTTCCAAAGTAGCATTTTTCACAAATTAAGTCTGGAAGAGGAAAGAATTACCAAACTGTTTCCTAAAGCTTCAGTTTATATGTAAAACTGTCATCCCAAACTCATGTCAATAAAATTTTTGTACTGCATATTGTCTTTCTGTCTCTTTGCATGTGTGTGTGTGTTTTCTCTATAGATACAGAATATTAGAAGCTTATTTCTGTAATCATTTCCCACACAATCTATTTAGAAAGTACCACATCTTTCAGTAACCACTGTTTTATTGAAACTTCAATTTCTTGTGTGAAAGTAACATAAAACATAATAACAATAATTTCTCTAGAGGTTGATTTTTTAATATTTTTTTTGGCAGTAATTTTGGTGCTGAAAATGGGATGCTACTTGTGCAATTGGCTCTTAGCAGAATGAGTCAGCTGCCAGTGGCTGTAGGTCAGAGAAATGGGTCTTAGCAATTAGCATCCCTTACGTGCTGAAGCGGCGTGAGCAGCGGCGTGGTAGCTTGTGTGAGAAGCTCAGGCATGGATTTCATGGTGAGGAGGAACACAAAATGGAAAATGTTTTTTGTAGTGATCACATGAGTTGCAACATCAGGATTTGTAATAACAATTATTTTTTTTTTCTTAAAGAGCTATAAGAAAAATTCTGACATGCTTCTAAGCTAGGTTTGTTCTACATTGAAAATACACCTTGGAAATGTGAGACCTCATTTAGATCAAGAGTTAGCAGTGTGCTTCTGTGTGGGAAGATCTTAGGCACAGTGTCCTAAAGTGTGTTTTGAGATATATTTTAAGACTCTGTGTATTGTCTGTGAGAATCAAAGGCCTTCTGTGCTGCACTTTGAGTGAAAATCTACAGAAGACGGAGTAACTTTGATCATCTGCTCGTGGTTTGAACATTGAGTCTCTTGCTAAATTTAGCATTGCCTTTCAATGCCCTCATTATCCTTTCTTTTCAGCCTGCTGTTCTAATCTCCCTCCATCTGCATCTTGTACCTGGTTGGCTTCTACCTGCTATCGTTTCATTTGTCGTCTTTCAGTTCAACAGTCTGTGATCTTCACACATCTTTAATCACACGGTATTTTGCAGATCTCCTAATTGAATCTTATCCTCCATAGTAACTATGAAGCTCTCTTGTCAGGCCACATCAGTTCCTGCCCTCAAGTGGTGAACACCACATAACCACCAAACAGTTTGGATATGAACATGCTGGCTTCTCCGTTGGTTTATCCCTTGGATTGTGACAGGTGGTGCAGAAGCAAGGCAAGGCTCTGTTCAGGAGCTCAGGGCTTCACTGTATCTTCCGTCTCTTCCTGTGCTGGCTACAAACAGCACTCCTCATACGTGACTTGTTATATCAACTACTCTCATTTTGGGTTAATAATGGGCAAACTCATTTTTCTTCATGCCTTCCCGTCTCTTCAGCAGAGAGGTCTCAAGTGTGCTATCTATGGTGGCCCATGCCGCTCCATGCTCACTCCGCTCCCGTTTATTCCCCATTTCCATATCTTTAAAAGAGGTGAGGTAATTGAAGGGAGAGAGACCCTGTCTACGCAAAGGAGTATCTCAGCGAGCACAGGGAGCTTTTAAGGTTGCATCCATTCCACAGGCCACCAGGTCAGTGAAAAGACTTCTCATTCGGCCCCTGTCTGACTGCACTACACTCCTTACACATTTCAACCAGAGGAACATGAAAGGTCATTCTCATCCACCAATGACCTGGGCAAGTCCTAAACTTCCCAGGTCTCCAAGTAAGTGCTGAAAATAAAATCTTTCAACGTCTCCTATGGTTCTTATTTCTTGACACAGAACATAGAATATGTTCCTTAAAAAAATGTCCGAGACCATCAGACAATATTTGCATCTGTTATTTAGTTGCTGAGCACAAGCTCAAAAATGAAAAGAGTGAAGAAACCTGCTCCATCATTCAACAGAGGCAGCAACATTCATCAACAAGAGCAAAATCAGAGGGTCTGAATTCCTGAGTTGCATCTCTCCCTGTAATACAGCTCAAGTGACTGACAAACCAAATCAAAACCCTCCATCTTTCCAGTAAAACTGGAGAAGTAGAATCATCTCTACAGGTGCAAGATGCTTGTGGAAGGAGTCAGTTTGGAGAAAGCATGAGGGACTGCTTTCTTGGTGCTAACTCTGGCTAAAGTGATGTTTAGGATGTTCAAACCATAACTAAGAGACTTTAGAATTATGAAGTGGGCTGTTCTTCAGAAACTTGAAGTCAAAGCGACTCGAGACAGCACAAGGTGTGTTTGTGCTGGGCTGTAGCACAGGCAGTCTCAGAAGGCAGAAGTTTGCTTTTGTGTACAGTTCTTGGAAAGAAAGGACTTTTCATTCCAAGGATTTAGAGGAACAGAAGAAAGTCTGGTAGGGGGGAAATACTTCCTCAGCACGGTGGTAGCCAAACTACAGTTTGGCTAACATATTAGCTCAAAAAGGAGTTGGGATGCGATCCTCTGTGTCACGCAGCGCAGTCCAGGCTTAGGAGAAAGCAGAGCACACGTAACGGGCAGGTCCAGTCGATGGCACGTTCCTTTCCCAGCTGCAGAGGTTGCACCAAACTCACAGGCTCATCACCGACACAGCAGCGGTAATTGTAGGCCCCTGGACATACCAGAGTGACACTGACATTCATTTTTATCTAGTACGTTTAAAAGGTTTTGGGAGAAGAAACTAAGAAAACCTGTTCACATGTTCAAGCTTAGATCACAATGAGAAGGAACCTGTTGAGAAAGAAGAGAAGATAACAGGCACGGAAGTTGGACATCACTTGAAACCCTTCAGCTGCCTTTACAAGGGTTATATTTTGAGATTGAAGTAAGTCCTGGTGAATAGTAGTAATATTGTTTATCCTAGGAACAGGAAATTGGTTTCGGAGACCACAAGAGATTGTAAAGGAAATGTGTTACTGTATTGCATTGCATGTTGCTTAATTTGCAGTATTTTTAGGCAGTAATTAATTGTCCGTGGGTGAACAATTGTGCACACAGTTCTAAAGTGATTTTTTTTTCCCCACATGTTAATTCATAGCCAAGTAACAGTAGAGCTAAAATACTAAATCTATATCAGAAAGAGGAGAAAAAAGTTACCAGAATACTTTTTAGATAAATAAAATATGACAAGTTACCTAGTTCTGAACTGGCATCCAACAATTAACACCAATTCAGAATTAATCTTAACTTGAGGAAATGTTTTAAAAGGTACCTTTTCCAAGAGCTGTCACATTTCAGAGAAATAACTTCAACCTGTTACTTGGACAGGGTAGAATTCCAGAAGCACGGAGGCGCTGGAGGGGTGTAGCAGGCTGAGGCGTGTGGAAGTGGGGGAGATGGATCTTAAGAAAGACTTGATAAATAGATATTTCATAAATAAAATACTAAAGCTGGTAAAACACCAGTTAAGCAATTGTGAAAACAAAATTGGTTTTTTGGACTAGTGGGCTTGTCTGAGCCCGATGAGATATTGAACAGTTCCCACTAACGACGATTATCGAGCTGCTTTGTGTAGTTATTTCAAATGTAAGGTTTACAAAGACGGCTAAATGGCTACGGTTTATTTATATTTATATTATTTATTTATTT